CCCCTGCCCTGTCCCCCTCCCCCAGCCCCGCAGCCCCGCCCCTGCTCCCGGCCCCGGCCCCGCACCCCGCTCGGCCCCGCCCCTGGCCCCGTGCCCAGGGCCAGCCCGAGCTCATCGGGGAGGGTGTAGCCCCGGCGGGGAGTCTGAGGTGGGCCCAAAACTGCATTTTCGCAGTTAGGCCCAGGGGTTGCAGGCTTCTGCTGCGCACCCCCCTGTATTTTTTTATTTTTTATATATTTTATTGGATTTTTTTTGGATTTTTTTTGGATTTTTTTTTTTTTGGGCCCCTCCCGGGCTGGGGTCAGGGGACCACCGCACCGGACCCCCAAGGCCGGGGCTGTGACAACCCTGCTTGGGACGCTGCACCCGGCTCCCAGCAGGTATGGCTCCCCACCAATAGATCGGAGCAACCGCAGGAGGCCATGCTAGGCGGAGATGCTCTTATCACTCCCCCTAACAAAGCCGGTTCTGGTTTTTGGGAAACAGGAAGAAAAAAAAAAGGATGATTAGCCCTCTCTCTTCCTCCCCCCCCCCCATAACACATGCGCACATTATGATTGTGATGGACAGGTTCTCTGGACGTACTGCCATAACTTTCAGGAGTCGCCACTAGTCCATCAGCTAGCATTGCGTAGTCTACTAACATTGGTCGTACGCTCATAAGCAAGCTGAAACACCTTTGCAAACCTGCTCACAACAAGGAGACCCATGTTCAAAAATCCAAAAAAGAAATATTCATCCACTTCTGCAACACGAAGGGGTGGCGATGAGAAATTCAAAACATCCACGACGTGAAAAATTTGTGAGATTGCAAAGTACACTATCAAAACCCACAAGGGAAACTACCAAGATACCTCGGGCTTTTCCCTTTAGTCTGACATAAACCCAGGCATTCTGCATCTACATGAGCCTACTGTGGAGGCACTCACAAAAGCTCCTTACTTCCTGCATCATGCAAATGCAGAATGCCATTTGTGTATATCTACTATCTCACGCACAAAGGAAGAGTGTCAGTTTTACATTGCCTTCCCAAACCAAAAGGATAGTCTCCCGGGGCCGTGGAAGGCGGACTCTTTATGTCCGAGTCCCCTTTCTGGGACCCATTTTTGGATTGGTCCACTACTATGTACAGAAAGGATCTGCTTTATCTTTTTGAAACAGATTTTGTAAGGGGGAAACGGGGGGGGGGGGGGGGGGGAACCCGTAAACCAACGCCAACAAACCAGGAGCCCTTTTTTTTTTTTTTTTCATACGAGGTTACTGTTCTTTAATCAGTGCATACGATCTACAATAGATATCCAATGTAGCAAAGATTGTCTTACTCAGAAATTTCTATTTGGGGACAATAGCATGACATATGAGATATCATTGCTTGCACATAGATGTATAACATTAAATTGTATAAAAATACTGTAAAATAAATTATATTTACTGCTATATATCGTCAAACAGAGCTGCCCAGTAAGAGAGGAAGAAGAGGACAACAAACGAGGGGCTGTGACCAACTGTTTCGTCGGAGTTTCCCCGACTGACTCATCAGGAGTATCCAATAAATACAGTAAACAACACAGCCCCAGTTTGATAAACCAGCAATACAAGCCTACTCATCTGACATCATGCTGAATCCCCAGAGCGGTCTTAAAATCTCAGCCCAATCAAAGATTCGATCTCACCCTCCCACCCATACCTTCTTAATCCTAGGTTTATACTGACATGCAAATACAGACTTCAATGCATCTTTAGATTCTTTACCCCCCCCTTCTCTCCCCCCCCAAAAAAAGAAGAAGAAAAAAAGCACATGATGACAGGTGCAGCCAGACAAGAGTACGCTGTCAGGCTGGCATCGGCTGGCCCAGGGCATATGCACTATGATGCAGATAGCAAATGCCGACTAGTGCAGTGAGCACACCCATGCATGCACATGCAGATAAGCGCGATGGGAGTTTTCAGAAAGTGCTGGACCCGCAGATGCTCTCCGAAAATGCAGTGTTGGATCCATTCACGCTATCCAAAAATTCAGCGCGTTAGATCCACAGACTGACTCCCACCTTCGCACTCAAGGAGCTCCCCCCCCCCCCCCCGCCCCTTGCCGTTCGATGCATTATGCTCTTGTTCGTCCTACTCCCACCTTTACCCTCAAGGAGCTCCCTTCCCCCCCCCCTCACCCTTTGATGATGCGTTATGCTCTTGTTCGTTCTATGGCGATCCTGTTCAAGAATGTGGGTTCGCTCTTTGCCCGTGCAAGCAGATAAATGACAGTTGTGATCAGAACAAGCAAGCTACGTAGTGCTAATCTTGGCCCCAGCGCTTCCATGTATCGGCAGGGCAGAGTTGAGATCCTCGTCCTGCATTGTCACTCCAATTGTCAACATGTATATGAGCTAAGCGCATCCTTTTAGCGAGTGTGATTCGAGTCCCCCACCCTCGGTGAAGGAGTCGACTCTTAAACCACAAGTACACGGCCCCAGCCTTGCAGAATTTTTTTGTCGCCACAAGCAAAACTCGGCGGGGCTGCAGGGCGTGGGGCGCCGTTGGAAAAAAAAAATTTGGTGGCCTCCGAAGTGGTGCGGGTTTCATGCGTCACCTGCGGGCCGATGTGTGGTGTACTGGTGCTTTAAGGCCTGTTCGATGGGAGTAGTGCAGCAGGGGGTGTGGTGATGCCCCTGAAGACTATTGTATGAGGGGTAGGGGGCTTGTGCCTCTTCATTCATCCTGGGGGTTTGAAGGTGTTCTATCGAGTGGGCTGCGGGCTACAGATAAGGCGAGCCCAAAACCTCTCTAAGGACGTCTTGCAATCACCCAGGAGGCCAACATGAAACAGTGCACATTTCATACAGTATTTCAGGCAGTGGAAACACTTAACTACGACAGATGGAAAACATGAAGGGCACAGTTCTTTGCTTGAGCGTGGGTTGCTGAAAACACGATGGGCAAATTTTGCTTGTTCAGAGCGAGGGGAGATGACCTAGATGCAGGAAGACGGCAATATGCTGCCTGCCATTCAAATGGGAGAAAGTTGGTTGGTCCTCCTGGCTGGTTGTGGAAGCAACTCTTTCCAGTCCGCGCCGGGTGTTACAAACTTGGGTACTGCTCCCAGCACAGAGCAGAGATAGGTAGATGCAGACCCATAACCGTAGGATAGCTTAGTTCTGATTACTAAATTTAAGGTGGCCTTAGACCCTAGCCCTAGATCCTAGCTGTGGACTTAGTCTTAGATCCGGGTTCCCTTGATGTGCGAATAGGCTTTTGTAAATTTGTACCCCATGCTTGTCTGGGGTAGTAGCTGCTCTTCCTGAACAGAGGTGATCCATTATCTGCCTTGTAGGGCTTGTGGGTAGGACATAGATATGGGTAGCTAGTGCGACGCAAAAAGCGAGAAGAAATAGGGTTGGAAAAAAATATACAACTGTCCTCCATACGAGGAGAAGACAGCCGTATTTTTTTTTCCTTAAAAAAAAAGAAAAGAGGGAAAGTTGGTTGCTGAACACACGATGGGAGAAATTTCCTTCTTCAGAGAGAGGGGAGATGACCTGGACCCAGAAGGTCAGCAATTTGCTGTCTGCCATTCAAATGGAAAGTTGAAGAAATGAAGACCGGTTGGCTCATCTACCACTTCTTATATCACTTGCAGCCCACAGAAATATGCAGCTCACCACTTTTCATGAAAATTGCAACTCACATGAATGACGTGTGGACAAGAGAACAACTCGAGAACAC